GCAGGACAGATTTCGAAAGATCTAATAAATTGGAGGAACCTCCAGAGCCAAACGAGTGGGGTTGGAGGCGGTCAGAGCACAGCTGAAAGCCTATTTGGTCATCTGGCAAGGTTGCGGAGAAATTGACTGTTGCGGTTGTCTAAAAGACTGTGAGACGATGCGCTGTATTTGTCGATGAAGCAATCTGCCATGCACTCTTAATTGCAAGGCAAGAAATGTAGAGGTGGATGCACAAACCAAAGGTTAGTCTAATGAAGGCATTGGATCATCATGCATGCAATATTCTAAGGATTTTTGATTGGTTTGAAAAATACATATCTAAATTTGAAGTCTTCAAAGATTAAAATGACTGCAAAGATAATTAAATCTTCTGAATTTCATATTTTTGACCTCATCGTCGGAATCAGTGACCTCAAATTATCCTCAAATGATATGCCGCATGCCACCTTTATCACAGTAGAAAATGAAAAAAAAAAAACAATATGGCCGCCAGGATGCCTAAACTTATCAACAAAAAAATTTCGGGAACATCCTAAATATATTTGATGACTCAATTAATACCAAAAAATATTTTTTTGTCATACGCTCTCAAAAACAGCTATTTTACGGACTCATTCAAGTCCGTAAAATGCTTCTTTTTAGGATTTTTTTTTCTATCTGGATGCACCTTTATGATTTCAAAAATTAAGGAAATTTTACAAATTTTAACTTTCTGAAGAATTCTAAAAAGCGTATGAAACACATTTTAATTATTTTTCACATTATAACGTTGCGGAATTACTGCAAATCGTACCAAAAACGCATTCGATTGCGAACTGAGTTTCCGTGCGGATAAAAACGCAGATAAATCGCAGCCAAACTGGAGAAAACCGCTCCAGTTTGAACTTGTCTATTTACCGCAGTGAAAACAATTTGTTGCGAATCGTTTGCGTTGCGAATATTCGTAGGTGTTGCTAATTTTCCGCGTTGGTTTGGGAGAGCCTTAAGGCCCGTATCCGCACAGGTGCGGAAAAGTGTAACTTTGAGAACGGAAATGCGTGCAGAAAAGTACTACTTTGCGCACGCTCGTAGGAAATAGCTATTTACCTAACAAGTACATAACAAAAAAAATAACAGAAAATCCTCGTCAGAGCTGTTCATCTTAAAGCGTTTAAATTTAATGAGAAAGTTTCTTGATTTTTGCATATAAATAGAGAACAAATCTGACAATGTGTCAAAGTTAATTTATATTTGGTGTTTATATAGATGTTGGCTGACATAGAAACAGGAAAAATTTGTCATCAGTGTCAAAGTCGACAGGTGCACTTATTGTTGCTTGACAATTATAATTACTTTTCTGCACTCGGTGCGGATAAGGCCTGTATCCGCACTGAGTGCGGAAAAGTGGAACTTTGAGCCCGGAAATGCGTGCGGAAAAGTACTACTTTGCGCACGCTCGTAGGAAAAATGAATTTCAGTATGCCATCACGGTCATAATTTTTTAATTACTTGATACTGTTTTGGTGTCGGATTGGCTGTTGAGATAAAAAAAAAAAAAAGATTGTCTGTTATGAAATTTAAAGATTATTGATATTATTATATGTAAATACCTACAATTAGAAGCAAGGTTGCCAGGTCTCATGATTTTTCATGAGATCTCATGATTTGGACACATTTTTCATGATTCCATGATTTTCAACAAAAATCTTATGATTTTTGGCGCAATACACATACTCCGGTAATTCTATTATTTTCATGGAACTGTCTAGAGTCCCGAACGCGGGATTGGTAGAAAAAAGCAGAATCCCGAAGAGGCGTGGCTTAATAACTGCGTTCGGGACTTGTCAAAAATTATCCGAATCCCGACTTCGGGACCAGGGTAACAAAAGTAAATTCCCGAATTCGTAATAATTGTTTATGTATTATTTGTTTATCCTATATACACCTAGGTTAGATTAGCCAACTGCTGTGTATTTTGGGCAGTTTTGGCTGAAAATTTGTAACCTTTATTATGGGGTTAATATAAAAATGACACATTTGGTTCATATAAAGAATTACAAGATCCTATTGATTTATATGAGAAAGAAAACAGGGTGCAATTTTGGAAACGGGATACAAAAACTATCACATCCGCGAAGGGAGCTAAGCATCATGCCCATGCCTCTAATTTATACAAGACAGTTATAGATAAGCCTGATCTCAGATGAAAATATGAAATAATCCCTTATCATGAACAAGTTGTTGTTGATATCCCTATGGAGACTTATGAGATTCAGGACTATGATGAACAAGAGCAGCAGTTTGAAATTTCTGAAATAATCCCTAATCATGAACAAGTTGTCGGTCGGTTGATACCCCTATCGAGACTTATGGGATCCACGTGGACTATGATGAACAAGATCTGCAGTTGGAAAATTCTGAAATTACTAGTAAGTGTTAAATTATCGTTATTGGTATATATTTGCAATTGAATACCTATTAAAAGTCGAGGCAGACCTAGAGGCAAGAATTTAGCGGCGATAGGCCTGCCCAGCTAAAAAGAAAAAGAAAAGATCTACAAAATGAGATGTTCAAGTTTTTTTTCCATATTGTTTACCTACTAGAAATATACGATAAGTAGGTATTCGTTTTTTGCTAATTCCTTGTTTCTCTATTAATTGTCTGATAAAATTAGGTCGGGAGTTTACTTCTGTTACTACAGTCCCGAGGTTGGGATTTGAATAATTTTTGGAAGGAAAGTCCCGAACGCCGTTATTAAGCCACGCCTCTTCGGGATTCTGCTTTTTTCTAGCGATCCCGCGTTCGGGACTCTAGACAGTTCCTATTTTCATTCAAAATTTATGTTTGATATTTTGACATTATCACATTCAATCACTTGCCACTTGCTTAGAATGAATATTTTCTACTCGATTTTCTATAATTTAAAGGTTTGTTTGCACAAAAATTACAAATTAGCCAGAGCGAATTTCATTGGTTGAAAACAGTCAGAAAACTTGTTCCAATCAATGAAATTCACTCTGACTAGTTCGTTATTTCTGTGCGAACAGACCTAATATACATAAATCAGAAGCGAGAAACAGGTTAAATGCGTTAACTTTATGACGGGTATTACAAAAAAAAAATTGACAGAATAACTAAAAGTTAGCTTCTGAAATGACGCCTAATATAGGAAGTACCTAGGTACCTACCTATTAGGTAATTTTTTGTGTTTTGAAGTTTTTATTTTATTTTTTCTGTTATATTTTATGTTGTATTTTTCAGATAAAAGTGATTTTTTATCCAATAAAAATGCATATTATTAAAATAGATGCATTTTTTTGTCGATTCCCAATAAAATTGGTCATCTCATGATTTATACTGAAAATCTCATGATTTTTACTGCATTTTCTCATGAATATTTTTTTTTCGACCTGGCAACCCTGATTAAAAGTTCAATCGAACGTTAATTATGTTGCCAATGATTATTAACTTTGAGTTCATTACTCCGAATCGAGATAAAGAATGGAGAGCACTTCAATACAAGTATATATAATCCACATTCCACGCGAATAATTATTGTAGATTGTGCTAACCGCACATAGAAAAATTGATTAAATACCATAGGATTAAAAATAAGGGAGTGAACAGATGTTCCTCAGGATGTGATCTGATCAAAACTGGAGGAGTAAAGTCAAAAGTTTTAACTTGTTGAATAGCTGAATACTGAAGCAGATGTTACAGAGAAATCACAGAAAATTTTCAAAAAGAAATCTGTATGTAAAAAGCACAAATACACACAGCCTCTAAAGTTAGTTGCTTTCGACAGCTGAAGCTGATTTGCAGGTTCCCAGCCCACAGGTTGCTTCAGGCTTCAGGCAACTTTCAGAAAGTAGAAGTTTTGCTGGACATCGGGGAGAACTCGGTTCCGTTCGTAGAAGATTTATGTGCATTTTGACCACTCCCACATGTGGAGTTAGTCACTCGAATGATTCTTGTCATTTTAGTGGATAATAGCCATCATATACTCGTTGAAGAATATACTATTTTCTGAGATTGACAAGAAATGTCAGCATTTTTGACCGGTTGACAGGTCGCAAAACCCAATATTCTGGTATTTTAATTATGTTTCAATAGTTGCTAAGGAATCATTGAATAACAATACGAGAATCACTTTTCTGGCCTAGGCCGGGAAAGTGATTCTCGTACTGCTGAACAATTGGAACAAAAATACAAACGTTTAACAGATATTTAACCGATCTCAGAAAAAATAGTATGTCTATTTCGGTGGAAAAGCACATTCTCGGCCTTCTGTGTTTGCCGGCCTCGGCTACGCTTCGCCCGTCAAATTACACCGTCGGCCGAGAATGTGTCACTTTTCCACCTAAATACACAATATACTATCACATATTAAGGATCAGGGGTCGTATTTTCGAATTCATTCGAGTGTATTTCGTACATGAAATTTGACTGACAGCAATGTAAATTAAATGGGTAGCATTCGAAATTGTATCCAATTTTGTATGCGAGAATATTCGAAAATACGACCTCAGGGGTTAGGGCTTCAGCCCTCTGATGACATAACTTGGTCGATGAATTAGCTTTTTTCAATGCGAACCATATTTGGAAACATTCTCCAAGGTAGAACAACTTGTTCCTTAGTTCAAACTTTCACTGCCTTAGTAGATTATCATATTCTCTTGGATGACACAAATCTGAAAATACAGTTGGAAAATTTTTTAAAGATGTGTTGCTTAGAACAGACAACAGGGAAAATACCATAAAAAGTCTATCCATTTGCCAAGTGCCAGTCAACATCTTTCTGTAATATCACCATAATTATTGTATATGACTGTCTTTTTTGTTAGTTGGGTAGTAGTTCGTCTGTCAATATAATTATCGATAATAAAATGTTAAGTACCAACCTAGTTTCTATCACTCAACAAGCCATTGTAATTAAATTTGGCGATAAGAGTACCTATATCTGTATCTATATAAAGAAAGCAATTTTATACAATACTCAATTAAAGAAAAAAAACTTCGAAATGAAGACAACAATAGGTGAGTAAATGAAAATATCTCGTCATGCCTTCAACAATGTTTATTTCTTGCAGCATTTATTGCTTTACTCATCGTGTCCAGTTCGAGAGCCGACCAAACTTATCCAGGCACCTCTACTAGACCAATTTTAAACTCAGCCGAAGCTTCAGATTATACAAAAACCTCGTATCTTCAAGGTTGGCTTCCTGAAACCATATCGACAACAGCTGCTGATTTTACAGTAGGAGGCAGTGGAGGTTTCAGCACCATCCAGGAAGCGGTGAATGCAGCAATCAATACCAAATCCAGCAATAGACAATATATTAAAATCAATACAGGCAAATACAGTCAAGTTGTCTATATTCCAAACACTGACGTGCCATTGACTATTTATGGAACTTCCGATGTAGTCATAAGTCTTAGTGTATCAGCACTTTTAACCGGAACTGAATATCAAACTCTTGTAGGAGGTTTATTTGCTCCAGGCGATCCTGCCTATGAAACTTATGTGAAATGCGCTATCAGAACGGCTATTGGAACTACTTGTTCCAGTGTATTTTGGGTTAAAGCAGCGAATGTGGAACTTATCAATTTAACCATTGAAAACTCATCGAAAAACGTTGGCACCGATCAAGCGGTTGCGCTTAACATTAATGCAGATAAAGTGCAAGTTAGTAATTCTAGATTGTTGGGACATCAAGATACCTTGTATGCTGGATCAGGTAAATCGAAAACTTTGAGAAATTATTTCTTCAACACGTATGTGGAAGGCGACGTTGATTTCGTTTTTGGTCACGCTTCGGCAGTATTCGAACAGTGCACATTTCACGTTAAAGATGACCGTAGAAATTATTCAGGAATTGTGTTCGCTCCTAGTACCAATCCAAATAATCAGTATGGGTATTTGGTTGTTGGCGGTACTATCACTGGAGATGGTTCGTGGTTCAGGTCGCAAAACGTTTATTTGGCCAGAAGCTGGGATGCTGGAGTGAAGTCGGAAGCTAATTACATAGCTGGCACATCACCAAACGGACAACTTGTTATCAGAGACACGAAAATAGATGCAGTTGTTATTAATCTTGCACCGTATAATAAAGCTGCTACAAGTGGTAGGAAGTTTGCTGGAAATAATAATACTAATAGGAATTTGAGTGATAATAATTTTAATAGGTTTTGGGAATTTAATAACAGTGGCAGTGGAGCTTGATTTAATTAAACGAATCTTGATGATGGTAGTTTTTTTCTTAATTTTTCAGTGCGAATATTAAAAGCCAAGCAATTGTTTAAGGTGTCTCTCTGTTCATGTGAAGTAGGTATGTAAAGACATCATCTACATATCCATACCAATATAGAAAGTGTTTGCTTAATAGATATTCAAAGATCTGCCTCTTAAGATTATTTATGGACACCTCAGCTAATAATGGACATAAGTGATGGATTCATAATAAGATTTACATTAGAGCAGTTAGAAAAATTGCCAAATTTAAAATAATTCTGCTTCAAACAGTAAAAAAGACGATCTAAGGTGTAAGGTGTCTTATTTGATGATGGTATTACCTGGCTCTTCTTCTATCTCTTACGAAAAGATCCTCAACTGACTTCATTAGGGTGGAATAAATACTTTTTTCTCCAAACGTCAAAAAAACGTCACTTTGTCAGCACCTGTCAAGATGTTAGAAATTCAATTTCTATGCTGGTAGGCAAATCCAGCGGGTAACACCTGACGAGGTGGTAGAAATTTAATTTCTATGCTGCTAGGCAACTGCAGCGGCAGTAGAAGTACTTTTAGTGCCGCTGGAGCGGCAGCAAAAGTACTTTTAGTGCCGCTCGTACTTTTACTGCCGCTCAACCATTCAGTTACCCCCGAGCTTACCCCATTCGTTTGGAGAAAAAATAGCGTGTTGCATACGGAGTAAAAGCACTTTTTTGTGCTTCAGCAGTATTGCAAGCCTCACTACGTTCAGCTCGCAAACCTACTGCTTGAGCACAAAAAAGTGATGCTTCTACTCCTAATACAACAATATACTATTTTGTAAAAATTCTAGATTTTTACAGTGCACTTCGGAAAAAGGCCTATCGCGTTTATTCTGGATTTTGCAAGAATAGATTATGGATATATAAAGGTCGGTATTAGTTAGTAGTTTTTGAAATTTAAGATTAACTGTAATATGATTTAGATAGTGATTATTTTTAAGTTTAAAGAGTTTAGATGTTTGAGTTTAATTAGTGAAGTAATTAGTGTCAGGGTGTGCAGTAACGTGGAATAAATTAATGTTGTGGTAATTGGTCTTTGAATTCGAAATAAACGAACCCAAGATTCTTGTTCCGCACCCCAAAGCCGTGACATTGGTGTCAGAATTGAGATATAATTCGAGAACTGTAGCTGGCACATGAATCATATTTTTCTCCGAATGACAGTAAAAGCGGCCTTTCAATGACACTTGACAGGATCAAAAGTTTTAATTTTACTGCCTAGGCAGTAAAAGTGGACTTTTACTGCCTAGGCATTAAAAGTGACAGTGTCACAACGTTCCAGGTAATAATTTCACTCAATTTGGTATTTGGAATTGATGGTGACAATGACAATTGTCAAAATAATTTAATTATTTGGATAATAATAATGAATGAAATAAATATAAAAAAGATGTTCATGTGTGAATTTGAACATTCGGAGAAAAAATTATATGTTTTACATTGCAGAAAAGCAGATTTAATGCCTCGGCTGGTTTCCTAGCCTCGGCTATGCCTCGGCTATGAAACGCCAGCCGCGGCATTAAATCTTGTACTTTTCTGCCTAGTAAAACAAATAACTATTATTCGCACTTTTTCCTAAGGTAAGTTAAACTAAATCTTTACAAGTGATGGAAATATTTCTTTATTTATATTTATATAAATTGATATTATTCAGTAGTTTTTCATTATGAGTAGTAAAAATGGATGCTAGACTTGGAAATTCTTTATGTCTTACCTTTACCACAGCATGTACAAATCTTGGGAACTTTTTTTGAGGGAAAATGAGACATACATGGTAAACACAAACTAACAAAATCTGCTTTTTGCTCTTCAAATTTATCAACCACTTGTTTCACTCTATTTCTTTTTTCTAGCGTTGTTTTTAAAGTCTCGCAGAGAGTTGGTTTATTTGTAAGAGTTTTTTTCCAAAATTTATCACAATCAGCATCAGATTCAGATGATTTTTGACATCTTGGCTCATAATATTGACAAGCATTGTTGACAATTTTTTTCTTCTTTGCATTAATAATTATTGCATAATTGCTATCTTTTGCAACTGGTAAGTTTTTACTATGACAGAAACTAAATTCGTTGTTAACTTTATATGGATTTCGAAATCCTTCTTGTAAATTTATTGGTGAAGTCTGTAGTCTTTTATTACATTTAGTATCATCTGAATTATTATTACCTTGAAAATTAGATATTTTAAATTTTTTCTTAGAATCTTTGAATTCCAATTTTCTTTTTAGTTCTTTAACTAAATTTCTATAGTGGAAACTGCACGGTTTTTTCATACATTCAAATGACTTATTAGTTTGACGACATCGATAGCAAGGTTTATTTATTTCTTCCAAACTATCAGTAGCTGATGAATCAGTTTCGTCGAATGTAGACGAGGTTGTGCTAAAACATGATCTAGCAGATGAGGAAGTCGATGACCTGCCTAATGGCCTGTCTGATGTTTGTATGCTTTTGTCGGTGCCCAGCTTTTTATCATCAATAACTGTCATTGTTCCTACATCATTTTGTTTATCACTTGGTTCAGTTTGACCTCCTTTTGAACTGGTGAAATCTTGTTGTGTCCCTACTGTAGAAAATTTCTGCGCATTTTCCGACTCATAATTTACTATTCCAATAACTTTTTCTTCAGAACTAGGTGTTTTCTGTATAAATGTATCAATTTTATGTTCAAATCCGGAACTGGCTGCTAGTTTTGGTCTCAATAGCTCTTTTGACTCTGACCGTGTATCTGGATTGAAAATTTTATGATGTGCTTTCGAAGCATTTATTTTTTTGTGATTTTTGAGTACTGTTTCATGCAGTTCTTCGATTTTTTCTCTATTATTATCATCACTGCTTTTTTCCAAGGTGTTTGGAGTTTGTTGATTCTCTGATGCTGACTCACGTTTTTTGTTATTATCTGTAGTATTATTATTAACTTCAGGCTCTGCTTCAACAATTACCCAACTTGCATATTCTTCCAATGTCTTTTTCTTTTTCTTGAGGCTCTCTGGACAAGGTCCTCCAAAAATTTCCCAACAGGTATCTTCACTTAAACCACTTTCTGATGATTTGATGCTAAGCTTGTCTAGCTGAGCTATTGCAGATGATATTTCAGCTTCTAGATCTTTGTCCATCTGTGAAACTTTTGGTAATTATTATAAAAAATTTGGGAAAAAATAATGATTTATTAGAATCAATTTGAGTAATAATAGTGACAAACCAAAGTATCAATCTGTCATTCTAAACATGTACTGAACTAAAGTATATTTTTTCCCAAGATGGATTTTGACATTGGCAACTTTGAAACATAAACAATGCCGCTTATTGGTCACAACATGCCATTCGCACAAAATACATGTAAAACTGAGTCCAACCTGCAGGGACACCGCACTTTGCGACCAACCAGGGCTAGCGATATTGTTTAGGTTTCAAAGTTTTCAATATCAAAATCCATCTTGGAAAAAAATACACCATCATAGTTATGCAGTAGTTGTTTTAATAATACCAATTTGTTTAAACATTGTATTGTTATTATTTAAATACAAAACAATATACTTTTTCTATAAGTATTGAATAATATGCGTAATATACATCCATTATCTATTGATGTGGATGATTGCTCATACAGTGAGTTTTCATTACTCAATTGTTTTCAACCAATGAAAATATCCTGGTCTCATTACTCTACTATTTAAGAGCCAATCAGAAAATTTGACATGTTGATAACATACTTCAACCTTCCAATCGGTCATTTTGACAGCTGATTTAAACAAGACAAACCTAACTTTACTTTGTTCTCCGGCTGTCAGAATTGTCAATTGATTTTGTTATGAAAATTAAATAAAAAAATGCATAACTCGTGCCTATTATCTATTAAATCATAGAAAAAGTATGCATTGCATGATTACACAAACTTCATCCTTCGTGAGTAATAGCAAATGACGTCTAGATCTTAATTTTTGAAATTGTCAATAGATGGCACAACCGGTTGAGAAGTTTACTATTCTTAAAATAAATATGAATTTCGTTTATTAATGGAAGTAGAAAAAATAGTGTATGCAACTCTCATGTAATGACAATTAATACATTCGCATGTTATATAAAACTCGTCTGCGGCTCGTATCGTATCCTACAACATGCTCGTATATTAATGGCTATCATTACATGATCATTGCATAATATACTATTATGTGGACATCAACTATAATGAAAACAAAAGCGATTGACATCTCCCAATGACATTAAGTTGTTGTAGTATAACATACCCCGGGTTCGTTCAGTAAGATTGAACAATGAGCATTTTTATTATCTTTCAAACAACAAATCTTCTGAAAAATGAAATAAAAAACAAATAGGACCTACGTTGTGGATACTTACTCAATTTTACTTACTGGACATGCGCCCGACATAGCAAATATTAGGGAAGTTTGTGATATGTAAAAGAAACGAAAAATTTGTAAAACGTCTACTTTATTATTAAAGTAAATCGTACCGTTCTCATTCTGGAACTAACGAGGGGAAAGAGCACGGCAGAAAAACCCTCGATCTAACATTCCTCAGAAATCGAAACATAGGTACAGTGTCATTTTTATGATAATTGTGAGTCAATATTTAATCTAAGTGGAGCTTTGAATGTGACTTTTATTGCTACAAGAGTCGCAATCAAAGCTCCACTTAGATCAAACATACCTTAAGTTACAGCGGTGCATATAGCTGTAATTTAAGTCAATAAAAGTTTAAATTAGGTACCGCCCCTGTTCTTATGCTGAAATTTCAATTACACACACTACATTCAATCAACACTACCTAAAATCAATACTGAAGAATTTTTGTTAGTTAGCCGGTCTGCCGAAGGGTACTGAGGTCCCATACGGGATGCTACTCAGCTATAGTTTTTATTTTGAGCCAATATCATTTTCCTTTGGTAGGATATTCGTTCGTCAGGGTAGGAAAATGTTAGTAAATTCAACAAGGCCCTAATGCACGTTCTGAATACACAAAATCAAAGTTAAATGAGGTTACATTCAACTTAAGGTAGGTTTACACTAACTTAGATTCTAAATACCTTCCCCTTAAGGATCATATCTGCGGGGTTGTTTTATTATGCGACCGTAGCGAGATCGATTATTAATGCTCAAAGGCAATCGAGAATGAAACTGTCTATCAGCGTTGACAAGTTCATTGATATTATTATCCCTTTGATTATATTTATAATAAAACGAAACTAGCATTATTATTGTGATTACCATTTTAGGATGAATTTTCCGGTGTTTCTATATTACCTGCTCTTACAGTTATTGCCTATTACATTATTTGGTAGGAAGTGATACAATTCAGGTTTACCTAATTCTTTACAACGTGTGCTTGTATAAGATGGTTTAATTTAATTAGTATTACGTCTAACTATTTTGTTGTTGCTTTCTTTTCTAACCCAATAGGATCTTGGCTCATTAGCTTTTTTCCAAAATGATAGCTTTATTCCAAATCCTTTCCTTATCAGTTTTAATCACCCCTTTTTATACTCTACGAGCTCCTTTGCCGTAATTCTAATTGAATGTAGTTTTTCCGAATTTGAATTTACTTTTTCCGAATTTAAATTTACTTTTTCCGAATTTGAATTTACTTTTTCCGAATTTAAATTTACTTTTTCTGAAATTAATTTGACTTTTTCCGAAAATGACTCAAAATTTTCCTAAATAAAAGTAACTTTTTCCGAAATTGAGGTTGAAATGGTGTAGAATTGTCGTCGAATGTGGGGCACATGTATCGACTTGTGAGGGTCTTGATTTTTGTAGGGTAGGAATCGCTTCAAAAGCTCTATGCCACACTCCGCGGAATTGGTGTTCTATTGAAAATGTGGCCTTTTTGGAATGGACTTGTTTAGAGAAACGGCTCTCCGAAAGACCCTAAGCAATAAGGCATTATTTGGAAATCTATTATTAAATGGATGATTCAATTTTTTTTGCAATCAACAGATTATTGCCTCACGTAACTTAATTTTGCTGAGATAAGGTGATGCCTGAAGGCCGATAAGGTACTTTATTTTTCTACGGCACGGTTGTCTCGAGAAGATGGCGATTTTCAGCCAATCGACCTTGCAGCTCGACGACACAATTCAAAAGGGCAGATAATTGGTACGGACCAGGTGAGCATACAGATATTCAACGGAAATTGTTCGTACTAACCGGTGCGCCAAATTTAAATGAAAATTGTGCCCTCTGGTGTAATAAATTAATAATTGCTATATAATAAGTAGCGGGAACCCTGTATTTTTTTTAACGCTAGTCAAACGACTGTCAACATTAAAAACGGTTATATAAAGTTAAATTTGAAAGAAAAAGGGACAAGTAACTTTAAACGTTACAAATGGTTTAATGGGCTCATATATTCAGACATATATGCTTAATGAACGCCTAACATAATTAAAAGACCTCATAATACGCTGGAGCACAGCTTTATCTTTTGGACTTTCTAATTTACACAATGATTTTACTCTATCAGGATCAATTTCCATACCTCGTTCGGAAAAAATATGGTAAATCAATTTGACTTGGTTTCGACAATATTGAATTTTATCTCTATTAAATCTCGCACCTACACTTTTGGCTCGTTCAACTAACTCTTTCACTGCTCTGTCATGCTCTTCTTTGGTACAACCTAAGACTATCATGTAATCATGACAAATTTGAATATTTTTTAAATTTCCAAAATTTTTCCCGACTATACATCCTGAAACAGGTCTTGCGAATAAGAAAACTCATATATTCGAAATGGTGTAGAAAAGCAAAATTTCCAAGAAGATTCTTTCAAATGGTGATAGCCCTAAGATAAATCAAAAACTAAAAAATATTTTTTTCTTAATAAATATGAAGAAATTTCTGCAATAGTGGGAATTAACTTGGGCTTACGAATAATTTGTTTATTTAAATCTGACGGATCTAGACAAAGCCTTATTTTGCCTTTGGGCTTTTCAACCACAACCATTCCATTCACACTAGCACCTGCATCAATTTCATCAACCTTGATTATAGCTTTCCTTTCAACCAACCTATCTAATTCTCTTTTCAAGGAATCGTGAATGGCAAGGGGAATTTTAGTAGGGGGTGTCATACAGCTTCAAAATTTTCACAGGTTGTAACTTTATATTTTCCCTAGAACCTACCATATCCATTGTGACAAAATTTAGATGTTATTGATATTTTGGTAGCGTGAATAATTCTGTGACATCATAAAATTTCGTGGTAAATTATGCTGAAAAGTAAATTTGATCTGAAGCAGTAAATAACAGTTTTCGGAACCGGAGGCAATCTGAACGAAGTCTTCTTTCTTCTCTTCTTGGAGTGGTGTTAATAGGGATTCAAAATTAGTACCACTTACCACTTTTCTGCTCAAGCTGGAAACACCTTCTCTAACCACGCAAACCGGCACTTAAGATCTTTTTACGCCACTACCAGTGTTTTAATGGGAATTTTAAAACCAGAAAAGAAAAGACTAATTTTGAAAGATTAAAATTAATTTATTTAAGAGTGAAAAGAAAAGTTAATTATTTGAAGATAAAAAAAAGGTAAGGTAAAATATAAAAAAACCCAGGGGCGCCGACTACGTGGGTGCTCGGGGGCTCGAGCACCCACGAGACCTAAACAGTGGGTGCGAAGCACCCACGAGCATAGACTTAAAAACTGATAATCCTCTCTAGTTCCTGGAAAACTGGTTAATTTTGTACCTCGGGTTCCTGAAATGTCAAAATAGTTACCGGCAATCGGATGTCGGTTCTGTTGGTTTTATCAACCTTTCTAGAACCGTAATTTCCAGTCGATCAATCCATTTGTCAATTAGGAAAAACGTTTAACTTATTGAAAAATAGGTGGGCAACTGGAAATTATTGGTTCTGGAACGGTTCTCATGTCTGTTGGAACAGAGCTAATGGTTAACGTTTGGTTATATTTGGACCATAGGTTATGTTCCGATATTAACTCTGTCAGTACTGAATTTACTGGACGCCGTTCCGATAATATTTCCAGTAGGTACACTGGATTCAGTCGATTCAGTACTGAATGACCACAAGAGTACCTACCCTGTTGAAATTGGAACGGCAAATCACAGTAAAATTAGCACAGTAAATCCAGTACTGGCA